GGGACCCTGTGCTTGCAAAGCAGGTGGCAGAACCATTGAGCTAAATCCCTGGCCCCCAGGGCCTCCTCACTTTAAACATACTCATCCCATCATCCTCGCTACTTTCTGAAGCCGCTCTTTGGTGAATGTCTTTATGAAGAGTAACTGAAGAAAAGCAATGAAGGCTGCTGCTGAGCGCCATCCAGTGGAAATGCAGGCTCCTAAAAACATTACAGTGTCCTCATCCAAGTGATTCACTGGATCTGGCCTGGCTCTTCCTCTATGTCAAGATGACTGTGAAAGGGAAATGTTCTGAATCTATTCGGGACATCAAGGCAGCCCTAACAGCACAACTGAAGACACTCACGAAAGAGAACGTCCAGGACTGCTTCAGAAAATGCTAAGAGCAATGGGATAAGTACGTAGAAAATGAACGGGAGTGTTTTGAGGGAGATTCATGGCTATACATTTGTTTTTTTATGGTAACAGGGATCAAACTTGGGCCTTTGCGCTTGCAAGGCAGGTGGCCCTGGCCCCCTTTTTTATGGGTACCGGGGATTGAACTTGGGTCCTTGCTCTTACGAGGCAGGTGGCAGAACCACTGAGCTAAACCCCGGCTCATGGCTGTGCACCTTTACTGTAAATGAAAATCTAAAAAATGTCAACACCGACCACAATTCAGAGGAGAGTACACAGGCCCTGTGCCCAGGGGAAGCCCAGGAACAAAGCTCTCTGTTGGCCCCGTCTCATGGGAGGGACCTGATGAAGGAGCTGCCATTGGACACCTGAAGCTCTCTGACGGACACACAGAACAAAGCTCACCCCGGGTGAGCCCCCTGTGGGGTCGCGAGCCCACCACACTGCCCACTTGCCCTCCCCAGGACGCACTCTTCTCCCTGCTTTATGTGGGGCACATGGAACCTAGCTCAGATCACAACACTCGGCAGCTCCGCACCTCTCTGTGTTTCCCTCGTACCTTCAGGATCCCGTCTGGCCTCTGCGATGTGGGGACCCACAAGAACTTCCCAGCCCGGTGCCCACCGCCCTGCTCCACCTTGCCTGGCCTCAGTTTACCTGCCCCCACTCAGTCCACCCTGCCCTGCCGGTTCTGGCTCCAGGACACAGCTCACTTCCTGCAGCCCAGCAGGCCCCTCCGCTGGACAGTAGTCTGTGTCAGCGACCAAAAATACTGCCGCCTGCCTCGCAAGCGTAAGGACCGGATTTCGATCCCCGGTACCAAAACACACAAACAAAAATACTGCCAAAGGAGACAACGGAGCATTAGGAGCCATCGACCAGGAACTCAGATGAGATGCGGGCGCTGAAGGCTCCGGCTGGCGCCCAGCCACCGTCCCACAGCGCCTCTCCCGGCTGACTCAGGGGTTGCAGCCTGAACGACAAGCTTGCCTTCGGGGTTCCCCATCTGGAAGATGCTGGAGGCACCCACAGAACTTGCCAGAAATGAGGAACCCTCTCAGGCTCCACCCCAGAGGCCAAAGCACCAGCCCACAAGCCTGCGGGGTTTTAGACTGCCCGATGGGCGGGCTCTGCGCTGCTCCTCCCCGGGCGGTGGCACAGAATGGTCCAGCCCCGTGTCAGTCACGCCCAGGACCAGGAACCCTGAATAAGACTGAGCACGGCGCTCTCAGAGCCTCGGCATAAGGTGTGGGGTCACCCTTGTGAGAAAGCCAGGGAAACTGAGGCACAGTGCAGCGCCTTCTTCAAGGTCTGTGCCTCTCTCTGTGTTCTTCTGAGCGCATGGCCTACGAGGTCAATGAGGAAGGACGAGTGCGGGGGTGGGGGGCAGATGCAGCTTTTCGGGTCCTGGCTCCCCTGGTTTTACACGCAGGAAGGACCCGGATGAGTGTGGGGTCACTACTAGGCTGTTGTCGGCTGTGCCGCCGCCAGGGGGCAGCAGAGACAGGGAAATAGTTCCGCAACCCTTGGCCGGCCAGGACTGAGGTCCCAGAACTTGACCCTGATTATGGTATTGTCCAGAAAAGAAAGCTCTGCTACACGTGCAGTGTGGGTGTGCGGCAGAAGTATGTGGAAAATTTCTGTCCCTTGAACCTAAAAACTGCAAAAAATCCAAAACCAAAACAAGCAACAACAACAACAACAAAAAAGTCTTTTGATTTTGACTGTTTTCTCCACAAAGAAACGATAAATATTTGAGAGAATGGGTTTACTCTGATCTAAACCTTCCATAAGGTCCTGGGGATTTGGCTCAGTGGTTTCGCTGCCTGCCTCGCAGGTGCAAGGTCCTGAGTTTGATCCCCAGTACAGGTGGGGGAAGATTTAAACATTCCATAAGGCTTTTGTGGATTACAACATCACACAAGACCCTGTAAATATGTATGGTTTTGCTGTGCTGGGATGAAGCCTAGGCCAGTGCGCATGCTAAGCACACCCTGTACCACCGAGCTGCACCCCAGCCCCCAATATGTACAGTGTTTATGTATTTATGCATCTGCTTAAAGTCTAAATAGAACAAAAATATACAGTAAAATATTTTTATGGAATAAAAATTAAATTAAAAAAGAAAAAGACATATCCAGTAAATATGGATGATCCCTGGCTCAGGGAAGGAAACGTGTACAGTACGGAAGGAACTGCGTGTCACGGACGGATGGATGGACACAGAAAGAAGAGGGGCGCCTTATTTATGAACTGCACAGACAAGGGGGTGCTGTGCAGCCATAAAGGGAGGGGAACCGGCACATCCTCCAATCCAGATGGACCTGGAGACACCGTGGGAAGTGGATAAACCAGAGCTGAAGGACCTGCCCCGCCTGATTCCGCTTCTGTAAGGTCTCTAGAACATCAAGCTCACGGGCATGGGATGGAGGCTGCCAGGGGCCCGGGGAGGGACGGGATGGGGGGGCCAGTGCTTCTGACAGCAGAGTTTGAGCCTGGGACGGTGACCCAGGTCTGCGGGTAACAGCTGCCTGCCGAACTGCACCCTCAAAAATGTTTGAAGTGGAGACACACAAAAAGGTCAAAATGGTAAGTTTTACAGTACCTGTATTTTGACCACAGTTTTAAAAGTGTAGCAGGACTATAAATGCTGGATTTCACACTTAAACATTTAAACTAGTCCCCCAAAATAAATACAAACATGGCAGGGCCCAAACCTCTTACAGACCAATTAAATAAGAACATCTGGGGTTGACCCCAGGCACTGCTGTTTTCTGTGTCCCACATAGATCTGCCTTGCAGCATCTGCAGATCCTGGCTCTTCAAAAGCCCTGGTCTAGAGGTCTGGCCCGGGAAAAGCAGTGCACCAGGCCTTTGTCTGTTTTGATGCTTTTAAAATATGTCCACGTATCCACAGGTGCTGCTCCTTCAAGATACTAAGTTTTTTGCCCCTTTGAGTCTAGGCTGGCTAAGAGTTTTGGACAATAGAATGTGAAAGAAATAATTCTGTGTGATTTCTATACTTATGTTGAAAGAAGCCTTTGGCAACTAGGAGGGGAGGGGGAGGGGGATTTAGAGACTCGGTTTTGGGATCTTGGTCATCACAGGCTCCACGGCTTCCATCTTGGTCTCCCTGAGCTCACCCACCCTGGGGACAGCCAGGGCCTATGTCCTAAGGACACACACCCCTCTATCCTGGCCCTGGAAGCAGCCGTCCCTTGCCTAGCGCACCCCCAGGCACCATTCAGCACCCCCACAACGCTCCGGGTCCTTGCTCAAACGCCCCCTTTGCAGTTAGCGGTTAGTGTCACCTCCCCCTCCTCACAGCAACCTTTCCCCAGCGTATTTATCCTTCCAAGACACAGTCTTACATCTTTTCCTTATTGATTTTATTTCCTGACTCCTTCCAGAAATTGTGTCCCACACAGGAGAGAGTTTGGCTCCTATTTCCTCATTGCTAGATCTGCAACACCTCCTAAAGTGGCTGACTGGCCCCTAGTAGGAGTACAGTCAATATTGATGAATGGTGGGCGGATGGGTGGGTGGGTGGTAAAAGTGAGAGGAGTCTGAGCAGGATTGGTCCCACAGTCTTGGAATTAGCATCTGGCTCTGAGGTCCCTACATTCTAGAGAAGGGCAGAAAACCAAAGGTCAGATCCCAGGGCTTCCAAAGAAGAGGCTGAAAATATCCTGCGAGTTCCAGGCTGGAGTTTGCCAATCTTTTTTTTTTTTTTTTACTTTTCTTTTTTGGTACTGGGAATTGAACCCAGGGCCTCACTCTTGCTGGGCAGGTGCTGTGCTGCTGAGCTACATCCCAGCCCTGGAGTTGCTAATCTTGATGCTGCCCCCTTCCTGGGCTCTGGAAGACAGAATTGGCTAGCGGGGTGGCCATGGCCACTTAGCCCTGCGTTTCTGGGAGTCGAAGTGCCCCTCACAGTCATGCTCCAGACAAGGTCCAGGGCAGCACCAGTCCCTCCCCGTGTCCTGCACCATGGGGGACAGGTAGGGGCTCCCACAAAGGCAGGGGGCGGGTGGGCGAGGCTGGAGTCCACCCCAACCAGGACTTTTTCTCCTGAATGTGCCTTTCTGGAACCAAAGAAAGGTTTAACAGAGCCAGGTGGAGGACAGAGAAGTTGCCTTTCGTGTGTGTGTGTGTGTGTGTGTGTGTGTGTGTGTGTGTGTTTGTGCACCTGTCCTCCGCCCTGGGTGGAGGGAGATTCTCCCAGCTGGGCACAGGCTTTGGGGCATGCGTGACACCCAGAGAGCTCAGAGGATGTGCTCCAGGAGGGGCACCTAACACCAAACTGGGCTTTGTGGGAGGGGCGTGGGTGTGAACAGTGGGTAAGGCTGCAGCCCCCAGTCCCCGTGCTCCACGGAGGTGCCAGGACAGCTGCCACCTTTCAGGTGGGGGCCAAGATGGGGATGGGGGGTTAGGGGCGCCCCAGGCCCTGCAGTCTGCAGGCCCAGGCGGTTCTCTGCCTCCCACCCCAGCCCTGCGCAGCCTTGGCAGGGGGCTGCAGCTGCCCAAGCAGTGAGGGAAGCCGGGTCTCCATGGTAACACTGACGTCAAGGGCCGGGCCGGAAGGAGGCCTCCCGCCCATTCTGCAGCAGCTGGGCCCCAGTGTCACAGCCGGCGACCCTGCCCTCTCATCTGTGGGGCCAGGCCACAGCTCTCACTGCCTGCTGCCTTCCGATTTCCTGGTTCCTTGGGTCCCTCTGTCCTCTGCCAGCGCTCAGAGGGCTCCTGGCCTAACCGACCCTACTGCCTGCTGCCTCGGCCTGGCCCCTCCCAGGGGCACATTTGGATGGGAGGGCGGGAGGTGTGTGACATCCTCAGGGGCTTCTCCTCCACCCCTCACGGGCTCCACAGTAAAGGGGGGGGTTCGCGGGTGATCAGCAGCCTCTGCCCCAGGCCCTGCCCGCCCCACTTCCTCCAACTCCTCCTCCTCCCTTCCGGCATCCCTGCCTCACTGGGCCAGGCTGGGCCTGGCGCCTCTGCACCTGTTCCCTCCGCCCAGAGACCCCCTCTTGGAGGCTCTGACCAGGCAGCCTGCCATGTCCCTCACCTCTCTCCGTGGTGGATGTGAAAGGTGATCTCGACATCAGGGTGCGGCTTCACTTCACTCCTGGTCCCCAGGTGCCTGGCTGGAGTAGGTGCTTGGCCTCCCTGCATGGATTGTTGTGGTTTTGGTTTTCGGTGCCAGGGATCGAACCCAGGGCCTCGCACACACTAGGAAAGCGCTGTCCACGGAGCTCCCCCTGTGGCCTTGTACAGGCCCACACGATCCACCCACGCCTCGGGGTGTAAAGTGTCTGACTGAAGACCAGGGCTGGGCAGACACGGCCACTGCCACTGTGCTGGAACATTTTCATCCCCAGGAAATGAAGCCCCACATCCTTGAGCAGTGCCCACCTCACGTCCCCAGCCCCGAGCAAGCCCTGACCTACTTCCTGCCTCTGGGCTTCCCCATCCTGGAATGGCAGTGTGCCTGTGTGAACGAGAGGCTGGGAGGGCAGGCGAGAGGGACACACCACTTCAGGGACCCCATCTGGTAAGGGGCGACTCCCTCTGACTCCGGTCTGACTGTCCCTGGTGAGCTTGTGATTGTCCGCAGGGCAGGCCCAGCCAGGTGTGGGGGCGCACACCTATAATCCCAGCACTCTGGGAGGCTGAGGCAGGGGGATCGCCAGTTGAAGCCCAGCCTGGGCAATTTAGCAACTTAACAAGACGTTGTTGTAAAATAAAAAACAGAAAGGGCCGGGGACATGGCTCATTGCTAAGATCTTGGGTTCAGTGCCCAGTGTCTCTCCCTACCACACACACACACAAGTACAAATCCAGGCTCTCTTTCCAGCCCTGGTGTCAGATTCTCCACGCACCAGCAGCACCACACCACGCGTTCCTTTCTGCCACTGAAGAGTGTGGGTCAGACTCACAGTCTTGCCTCCCCATCTTTAGATTCAACCAACTGCAGATCGAAGAGATTCGGGGGAAATTGCACCTGCACCGAATGCATAGAGACCTTTTTCCTTGTCGTTATTCGCCGAACGTATGGTAACTATTTACTAGCATTTGCATCACACCTGACATTAGGCAATGCTGGGACGGTTAAGTGTGGGACGCACACTGTCTCTCTGCAAAGCCCACACCTGGGCAGCAGGGTTTTGCTATCTGTAGGGGAAGGGGTCCTGCAGCAAGCCCCCCACTATATGGAGGGGAGACTGTGCTCTTACTAGGAATGAATTAAAACAGGGAGATGCTTGCTTTTTGTTTGTTTTTGAGACAAGGTCTGGCTGTGTCGTCCAGGCTGGCCTTGATCTCGTGGGGACCCTCCCGCCTCAGGACCACCTTGCCAGCAGAGATGCTCGCTTTTGAGTGGGACTTTGGGCTGAGCCTCTGAACCTGGCTTCTGCGAGTCAGTTCTGCAAAAGCCCACCTGAGGGGGCCTAGCCTGAGCCTTTACTGCTTGGGGTTTGCTATCCTGCAAGCTAAGGAGGGACCAGTTTACTGGTGTGCAAATATGTTTGAATTCCTGGTCTCTGCTTCTTACCGTGTGGCCTCTGTCCTGGCTCTTGCTTTACAGAAATTCTAGAACTAGCTTCATCATTATAGAGGCTGAGGCAGAAGGATCTCCACAAGTTTGTGGCCAACCAGGGCTACATAGTGAATTCAAGGCCAGACTGAACTACATCGCAAGACCCTGTCTCCAAAGAAAGAAAGAAAAAAAGAAATTCTAGAGCTGTGTTGTCCATGCAGCAGCAGCCACTGGCCACATGTAAGCCCGAACTATACACTGATTTCAAAGATTTGTATGAAAAAAAAAAACAAACAAACAAAAAACAGAAGGTAAAATGTCTCATTAGTTTTTTACATCGATCACATGTTGAAATGGTGATCCTGTGGTTAGGCCAGGCCAAGAAAAATCCACTACTACAATCTCTTCCACCTGTTTCTCTTCACTTTTCAAAATGTAGTTCCTGAAACACTACATGGTCCATGTAGCTGTGTCCTATGGGCAGAGAGGGGACACCGGCCCCCAGCCCAGGCCCACAGGGGGCCACTCCCAAAACCCCATGGCTGTGCTGAGCAAGGCTACTGCCCGCAAAACAGCCCAGAGGGAATCACGCCCCACCCCATGCCCAGCAAAGCCCCCTAAGCCATTTGAGGTGGGAACAGAGTCCCAGGAAGGCGCTGCTCGGGAGGGAAGCTCTCAGGCGCCCCCAGACTGGCTGAGGTCCGTGCTTCTGGGTTCCACCCGCCCTCCGGGCACGGGATATCTGGGGGACCCAGCTGCTGTTCCTACCTCACAGTAGAGGAAAGCAGGCAAGAGGTCTGCTCCCTTCTGTGTCCTCCCTTCTGCTGCTGTACCGACAGCCGGAGCCAGGGCAGGTTTCCAGGGGGACCCATTCAGCACTGACAAGCGTGGATTCTTGCCCCCAGGTTTCTCCCCACATCTGGGCCTTAGGTTTAAAGTTCCAATGTTGCTGTCGGGAAATTTGTAATATGTTTTTGGATCAGGGAGCCAGCATTTTCATTCTGGCGCTGGCTCTCAAACAGCATGGCCAGCTCTGCAATCAGGCTTTCCACAGGTGACAGCGCTGCTGCACCTGAGGACCTCGCTGACGGACAGACACTAGGGAGGTGTGCATGTCCGATGCACCTGCCCGCTGTGCACATGGCTGGTCCCCAGACTGCGCAAGAGGAGCAAGGCTTCAACTGGGTCTCGGGTCCTCACCTCGTCTCAGAGGTTTTTAATCTGCGTTCAGTGTTGAGTTCAGGCAGCACCATCAGACGCAGAGGGAGCCCAGCTGTCAGCCCGATTAACCGTCTCTTCAGGGGATTCCAATTTGCAGCCCACACTTCGAGGGCAGCACCCCGGCCCCATTTAATGGGCACATGAGTCACCTGGGGATCTCGGCAAATGTTCAGGCTCTTACTCGGCTCTGCGTGGAGCCACTGAAAGCTGCATTTCTGACTCTTGCACCACGCTCATGCAGCCATCCACAGATCACATTTGGAATAGCAAATTCAGCTGAGTACCCTTTCTGGGTACATGGAAAAAGATCTCAAAGTTACACGTCTCACTATGTACACCTGGGCAGGTTGTGCACTGCACAAGGCTGCCACAGGGAAGAGGGAGGCCTTTCATGCCATAGGTATATCTATTAATCACAACAATTTTCTAGCAGGCGGCAGTAGTGTTTTAAGGAAGGAACCCAAATGGCCAAGAGCCTTCCTAAGTGTGGCTCCCAAAGGACTGGGGAAAAATGGAATCCCACTCCCAGGTCTGAACACAGGAGAGCAGCTGCCATATTGTCATTGACATATTCTTTTTGCTGCTACTTTTTAAACTGGGGTGCAGTATTTGTAAAAGCAAAACCCTGAATCCATTAAACAGTCAGTCCCCAAGCTTCACCAGATTCTACCCCCAACACCAATCTGCTGCTATCTGTATATGTTTTGTTTTCTGGATATTTCATATAAACAGAGTCTATCGAGATGTGGTCTTTGGAGCCTGGCTTACTCAGAGCCGTTTTTTGTGTTTTGTACTGGCGATTGTACTTGGGTCCTTGTGCTTGCGAGGCAGGTGGCAGAACCACTGAGCTAAATCCCTGGCCCTCAGCATCGTATTTTAAGACTCATTTGGGCTGTGGTTCTGGGGAATGAACCTAGGGCCTTCTCACTAAGCTACATCCCTCAGCCCTTAGGAATAAAAAAATTTTTTTGAGACAAAGTGTTACTAAGTCGCCCAGGTTAGGCTTGAACTGGCCATCCTCCTGCCTCAGCCTCCCAGTCTCCTGTGATTACAGGTGTCCGCCCCCCCCACCCCGACCCTGATTCTTTGCTCCTTTTTAAGAGTGATATTCCATGGCCTGTGTCTTCCACAGGTCCTCCATTGGTTGGAGGGCGTTTGCGTGGGGAACACACAAGGCGTCCTATAAATTCCACTCATCTCCAGCTCGGCGATGTGCTTACATTCGGGTAACTGCAGGGCGGGAGGGAGTCCTTTCCTGTGCAAGGACGACCCCGCTGTGGAGACCCGCCACTGCCACCTCTGCAGTCGCGGACCACGTGCATCTGCCGACGCTGGATTACGGGGCAGAGTCGCCTGCGTCTGCCTCCTTTGGTAACACAGCCGTGTTGTAACCTTCACCGGGAGACTCAGCTTCTCCCTCCCCACCTGTCCGTTAGTACCTGGCTCCTGAGCTTGCAGGCCAGGGCAGAAGTTAGGCTTGCTGTGCCAGGCGCGTGGTAACAGCCACAAGGTGCTCAGAATATGTGTGAATAAAATTTTTTTAAAATTACAGTAAATGTCACATTGCCACAAATCCTCATCAAAACATTTCTTTTGCCTTGAACACACCTCCCGCCATTCTTGTCACTTCCTGAAGCTCTTCTAGAAGTCTTCTTTCCCCAGGGTCCAGCTGATTCAAGACGTCGATCTCTCACGGTCCCTTTGGCTTTGGGGAAGGCCAGATGTGACAGAACCAGCGAAGAGGTGGATAAGGACTCAGTGCCGGGGTTTTACGAGCCAGCTTTCTGTTGGATGGCGCCTGGCAGCAGCATCACCACAGTCTGGATCACACCTTGAAAAGACCCTCATGAAGGAGAAATTGCAGAGCTGCTTCAGAACTCCGCCAGCATGATGGGATGCGCGTGTTCTGAGGGGCACGAACGGAAATGTAGCACATTTTTAAACATTTAAACATTCACTGTGTTTTTTGAGCTTTGCGCGTGAGCACTTTATTTAAAAATGGGTAAAATAGTTACAGCTTTTTTCATCATCATTCATACTCCTCAGGAGGAGCCCCTGGCTCCCGGAGGTGACTGCTGACACAGGCCCATCTCCCTCCCACCTGCTCCCCGACCTGGAGTGTGTTGGATGGTGGCCCCCAGAAGGCCCCTGTGAAGGTGACTGTGGGAGAGCGGGACCTGCAAATGTGCTGAGGGCCTGACCCTGGCAGCTAGAGACCTGAGCACCAATGGAGGAGGGAGGGACACAGACCCAGGCGACGAGGCCACAGAGGCTCCGAGGTGGCCTGGGCCGCCACCAGCCATGGGAAGGCAGGAGCCACCAGGTGCAGAAGAGGCAGGAAAGAACATCTGGTGCCAAAGTGCCCACGGCTGCATAGCTTGAAATAACAGAACTTTGTTGTCCACAGGCTGAACACCCCATCAAAGCTTGGTTCCTCCTGAGCACGGATCCGTCCGGGCCTCTCCCAGTGTGTGGCATCTGCGGGCCTTCGAGGGTTTGTGGTAGTGCCACCGTGGTGTCCACTGCCACCCTTTCACAGCCCTATCCCCGTCTTCCTCTCTTATGGCAGCTCAATACCCCAAGTCCCTCTTTGATAAGGACACTGGTTGCCCTGGGGACCTCCTTTTAGCTTGCCTTTGGAAAGACCTGGATCCAAAGGCCACATCCCGAGGTGCTGGGATTTCAGCTGTCACCGCTGGGGACACAGCTCAACCCCAACAATGACACGCCCGCCCCCAAGCCCACCTGCTGTCCTCACAGTTCCAGAAAGGTCTATGTGGATCCCATCTGGCTTGGGCCACACCTCGGCACCCTTTGCTTCCTTGCTGGACTTGGCCAGTGTCCCCCTCTGCATGCTCTGCAGTGCCACCTCCCCCAGGAAGCCACCGTGCTCCCCTCAGCCTAAGCACCTGTGCCTGCCATAGTGCCTGGAGGTGGCAGGTGCCCTGTGACCGGCCATGTTAGCACACACAGTCGAGTCTGGGGCTAAGTCTGGAACACGGTGCTGTCCCCATCAACGCCACGCACACACCTGTCACCTCCAGGTGGCATCTGCCGTCCCAGTTACTAGGCTGGTGGCAAGGACCCAAGATGGCACAAGGGGAAGTGTCTTGCACACGGGTGTGCACACACCTGCCTGTGTCCGGTCACAGCCAAGCCGGGCATGCGACTGTCCTACTCCTTTCTCCGTCCTGCCTGAGGCTTGCTCTACCCCTTGCCTGTGGGGCCTGGGAGGGACGGCTTCAGCCTCCGGCCTCATTTAGGGATAGCAGGCATAGACAGTCTCCGGGGCAGGTGGGAGAGGGGACCGATGCGCGCTAGGACAGAGGCTGAGCCCTGGGCAGCAGGAACACCCTGCAATGGGAGACCCGGAAGGAGGCGGGTTTGGGTTGCAGTAGGAATAAAAGGCCTCTCCTTAGAGGCATCTCAGCTGGGCTCTGTGACTCAGAGAGGCGGCCACAACCAGGAGCGGCTGTCCGTCCTGGAGCACGACACGAGCAGAGTCCAGCAGCCGTAAAGAAGCCACTTTGAGTCACCTGTAGGAGGTGGACGCGTCTTGAGCCCACGATGCTAAGTAAAATAAATCGGACCCAGGTTTCTCTGATATGTGAGTCTGAATAATTTAAAGAGCAAATAAAAGATGAAGCAGAGAGGGAGACTGTGGCATGGGAAGGGAGTGGCACCGGGCAGCCCCTGGGGAAGGAGAGGCAAAGTGGACACGGCCCAGTCCCCAGAGGGAACTGCAGATCGTTAGGCATGGAACATACACCAATAAACAAAGGAAGATGCAGAGGCCGGGCCTCTCCCAGCCGGGGGACAGAAGCTGCACTGTACCCAGACCCCAGGCAACTTGGGAGAGCAGAGCAGGGTCCATGCAAGGCTCTCTCCGGGAGGTGATCGTCCCAGCAAGG